CACAATCTTAATATTTGGAACAACTTTACAACAGTGACATGTACATGGGCCGCTTTATTTCAAATCAAATTTATTTCTTCAACACAATACAGTATAATGCAAACTAAATTAAATAAAACTGAAATAACCTAACCTTTCAATGGATTCAGGTTTGATGGAGAAATAAAAAATATATATTCAAAAAAGAGAATATTCCTTTAAATCTGCTAATTCTGCTATAAGCATCTATACTGAATATAATAAATAATGTATGTAAACTATATAAAAAAAATTTGAATGCTAAAGCACTATAAGCAAATGGTCGCCATAAAATATATAGCCAACACATTCTTCTCCTTCCACATTTTTGTTCATACAGAGGATTCTTCTGCTTTAAAAATGTTCATGAGTGGCAATTGTGCATGAAAATATTGGAGAAAAATAATTAATTCTACTATGGAGTGTTCAGCAGTATAAAAGAATACTGGAACCCTTTCTTTATAAAAATCATTATAAATTAACTTTATAAACCTATGTTATTTGTGGCAACATTAATATTAATTATCTTACTTAAAGTTATCACAAATGATGAATAAATGAAGACACTATTAAAGAATTTATAAAACATCAAAGTAATGAAATCTGGAGCTCATTATTAAATAGCCATGATGTAGATTCAAAATTCAGCACATTCTTAAACATCTTCTTAACATTTTTAAGCAAGTTTCCCCACCAAAACAGTGAAAAGGATATCTGAAAATAATGAGTGCATTACTTATGGAATCAAAACATTGTGCAAACTGTCAATCTAGTAACAAATAAGTAATAAAAATTTACTACAGGAGACACTGCAAGATACTTACTCTAGTCATTAAAGAGGCTAAACATGTACATCACAATAAACAAATAATAAAATAAAAGCAGTCTGGAAAACAGTGAAAAAGAAAATAGGGAAATATTCTACACAAGAAGTGACACCATTAAGAAAGATAAATGATCATGCAATAAGAATCCTAAATTCTTAGTATATTATTTCAATACTTATTTCTTAACAATTACAGAAATAATGAACAATGACACTACAACTGCAACAACAGAAGATGCAACAAAGATGCAGAAGCTAGAGGAAAAATCCTCTGCCCCCGTTGGAGATCAAACCCCGGTCATCAAGTCCATAGCCGAGTCACTATACAGAGTTACCCCGGCCCTAACGTTTATTCTATTCATAATGGCTGTGATACTGGGAAGCGTAAACACAACTTTTGCGTTGTATTTATGCTTTAAACATATATTAATACACAATCAATACTTGGATTGGATACTGCATGGGAAAAACAACAACAGTGTGAAGTCTGTTTAGATACATACTGCAGTGGAGGATACTATCAAAGTCAGAAACTCCTGTCTGTAAGCCTTTAATTGTTGAGAGCTTCTATTTAATTGATAAAGGATAATGTTTGTAACGGTGCCTTTTGGCAAGATAAGTATAAAATTTCATCCTCATCATGAGTAATTCACTATTAAAATATACTGTGTGCATGCCACTTAGCTGAATCATCAGCCACTACTACATAAACATATACACATTTAATCTACCATTGCTACACAAACAGACATTTCGTATCTTACACAAAACAATCGGCTTACTAACCTCCACGCTGTGTTCATCAACATTTTTACTTCCTTTATCAGATCTTCCAGCCATGTTCATAACCACGGTTAATATCAACACAACATTACTTAACACACATCAAATAAAGCATGTCGTTTTCTCCCTGTAAAAGCGTTTACATTTTTAACACAATTTGCTCTGACCTTAAATGTATTCGCAATGGAATTTATCCCTGCTCTTTTTTACAGTGGTATCTATAGGAACTATTAGAATAATCGCCTGACAACTCAACACATGCCTGTCGGCAAATGTTCGGAACAGAAAATCGCTTAAACTATACTCATATATACAAAACAAATGAAACTGTCTTCATTTTTATATGTTAAAATAGGATATGTAACAGGCTTGGAAATTATGTTGCTTCTTTACAACATTATGGAAAGAATACTTTTACTTGGAATTTCTACATATGTAAAAATAAATATACACACTGCAGTTATTTGCTTTTGTAGCAAAACATTCTGCAATCTTTCACCAGCACACTTTACAAAATTGTTCGCGTTTGCCGAACAGAATCATGGTATTGTAATGACGACAACGTAATAGTTGAAGAGTGCAAATTAAGCTCTATCAGTATTTGTAGGCAATTGATGAATGTGACAAATGTTCAAACTAGTTTATATGCAGTTTATTGAAATCTGTATATAAATATACTGAGGAAATATGAAATGCACGAAGTTTTCAGTGTGGCCCATGCCAACCCTCCTATTGTGCGTAAATAAAAGATGTCACTACGGTCGGTAAAGGTTGGACGATGTGTTGCTATTAATTGTGACGCCATTTTACTAACCTTTAAGGCGGGGAAGCGAAGATTTTAGTAATCTGTAAGTGAAATACTATAAATCGCTGTGTTACAACAAATACTGAACGCCATTCGAGAAGTGCAGCTAGTTATCTAACCTTTTCGGTAAGGCTTGGAACGTCTTGAAATTGTATCATTTCAACCACTTGCCTACAAGAACTTTGTTCAGTGGCAACTGGAACCATAAGATTGCATTGGAAACATTATACGGCAGGTAATAATAACACTATCTTTTAGCTGTCTTTGATGATCGTAATCCCTTAGTCATACCTTGAATTCATAACATGTTATGGGGTGGACCTACATTTGATAAAATTTGTTATTTTAAGAAATTTATTAATCATATGCATGCGATGAGAAGACTGTTTCAGTTATTACGAGATTCTTCATTGACTTCCATTTCTTGGTTTCAGGCTTTTGTGGTGGATTGGCAGCAGCAATGGAGGATGATGAAGGTGACACATCAATGGCAGTGGAGGAATCTATATTCAATGAAATGACAGCAAACCATGAAGACAGTGCTACATTTTTACATAGTGATACTGATAACAGTAACTCCAGTAGTCCATTCGTAGAGGAAAATTACAGATTAAAGCTTGATTGTGAGGAAAATATGAAGTCATCTAGCTGTTTAGAGACTACTCTAGTAACAAGTGACAGGGATGGTCAGAACAGTAGCACATTAGTAAGTGATAGTGATGTTCCTAAAAGCCCAAAGAAAGTAAATGGTGAGATGGATTTATCAGAATGTGACAGAGTGGAACAGAGTTCTGATGTAGGTAACAGTGGTGATAATACTGTAGTGAAGGACAGCAGATCAGCTGAAGATGATGATATATACTCAGAATCTGATAATCTGAGAATCCACCAGAAACATAAAAAGCAAGTGATCTCATTGCCTGAAGAAACAAAAGACACAACGAAGGATGATAACCAAAATTCTGAGGGTAACATTGAATATAAAGGGTTTAAAAAGAGGATTCTAGCTCAAACATCTGTAGAAATCAATAACATGGCCACATCAAGTGATTCACCAATGAATTCTACAAAATCAGTTTTTAAGTGCAAGAAATCATCTGTCACAAAGCCTGTGTCAGAATCTCAGCATGTATTGGTTTCTCATCAGACATTACCAGATGGGACACAATCCAGTGCACAGCTCACAGAATATGCCCAGTATTTGGGCTTGCAGCCAACAGTGAAATTCAAATGTTACAAATGTGGTGAGAGTGGTTTTCCCTCCATGTTAAAGTTACAAGAACATCAGAACACCTGCCTGAAGAACTGTAATAAGATCCAGACTCTTATAAAATCTGCCCCACCACCCACAACATCAGAATCTACTCCATCTACAAATTTCAGAATAACCCGCAAAGTGTACCTCTGTTCAGCTTGTGGGACTTACTATGAAAATTGGAATCTGTTTCTTCACATGAGGGAAGTTCATAAGAGGCATACATGCTTATTCTGCTTGGGGATGTTCTCCCAGGCTGATAAGCTTGCTACACATTTATCTGGAAAACATGGCGTAATTGAAGGACTCTATGCTTCATCAGAGCACTTCATAAGTGAGTTTAAAGGCTCCTGTTTTCTTATGTGTTGCACCTGTGAACGAATATTTACAGAGCAAGAAAACTTCTTTGATCACTCTTGTAGTGAAGGATTGGTGATTAACACTGACAAGGCATGTTTCTTATGCGGGTTGCGAGGTGCACATTTTCCAACATGTCGTCGAGCCTTTACAAACAGTAGCTCATCTCCACCGCCCCCACCACCACCATCATCCAGTTCTTCAGTTCCTTCTACACTTGAAAGACCTCCAGAATCAACACAGAATTCCCAACCTACAATTCAAGAAAATTCTCGTTCAGTCACAAAATATTTAATTCCATTGGGAAAAGTTCCGGGGAAGAAAAGTAACCAGAAACCAAACACGATGCTTGATAATACAGGAGAAAGTCAGGAAAAATCTAGAGATCTCTCAGATATTGATGATGACTATGATATCAGTAATGCAGCTGCTTTCTGTCATGTAAACATTCACGAGCCCTCAGAAAAGCAGAAACCAGTAGCTGCATCAAAAGTCAAAACCTGTAAAAGTAAAAGTCAGGAAGTGGTTACAAAGAAAATATCTGACCAGGAGCCTACAAGTTTATCACCTACTACAAACATAAACCAGAACTGTACAGAAACTAGTGACGATAAGAGATACGAAGATGTTCAAGATAACAGTATAAATATCAAAGAAAAGGAAATTCAAGAAAGTGATGAGTGCTATGATAACCAAAGTAGCAAAATTTCTTCTGAATCTGAAGAAAGCGTGCACAAAGGAGAGATAGAAGCAGATAAGTCAGCTTTTGAGAGCATGACAGATTTTCAAAACAGTCATAAGCTTGAAAGTCCTGCCATGGAAAAATTGCAGCCAAGTGTAGAAAGTGATACAAAGTCACAGCTACAACTGCAGAGGGAAACAAATTCAAAATTTTCACCAAAATATGATGTCAACCCAAAAAAATTATCACAAACAGAAACAAAAATTAGTCTGACACCTTGTGCCACAGAAGTTGATTCAGAGTCTGAATCATCTGAGTCAGACGATGATACTGAGGACAGTTCTACTAGTTCAGAAGCATCGTCTGAGGAAAGTGATCATTATGAGGGGACAAAGGATAAGGAGAAAAGTGAGTCAGATGCTGATAATGCAGATAGTGATAAAATGTCTCTTGTTGTTGATGAAAACAGGAGTGAAGAAGAAGAAAAAACAGAATTACAGAAAGAAGTTATTAATGATGTGGAGAAACATGCTATAGAAGATAAAATGAGTGAAGTAGAAGATAGTAAGCAAGATGAGCCAAAGAGTGACACTGAAGAGGTACAAAATACAGCAGAGGAAACTCAAGAATGTGTAGTTTTGGAACATGAAAAAACTGATGAACCAGCAGAAAGTGTGCAGTTAGCAGGTGATGAAGTACCTCTTTTGGAACTGACACTTGAGGAAAGTCTGGATACCATGAATATCCAAATGTTACTGAAGGAATCTGTAAAAGTTTCCTGCCTTAATTGTGTATACTGTAATCATGCTAAGAAAATAGCTGTTAATGGTAAACAGTTAGCATTGCATTTGTTAGCGGAACATCGTTTTGCTCCGGTGGTTTGCTCTGATAGCGGGGAACTTACAGAAGCTGATGGTTTTGTAGATAGATTAAAAACTTCATTATCTGAATTGCAGCAAATGTTCTTTAACACAGACTCCTACGATAATATGGACCAAACTTGTGTGCGCCCCCATGATAGGACATATGAATGTTTCCACTGTCATTTCTTGACAAACCTACATAAAGAATTGTATGTGCATAATAGAAAGATGCACCAGAAGACAATTCTTTTATGCATTATGTGTAAATCCAATTTCTACAGCTACAGTGAGCTGCTGTGTCATTTATGCCCTGGTATCTATGTACCAGAAAGTAATATAAGCTTTCGCTGCTGTCTGTGTACAGTTGATGGTTTACCTTCTGCTTTTAGACTTATGGTACATTTGCGGAAGAGACATCATGCGTGTGATGTGTGTCTGGAAACTACTGAAGATCAACAGAAGCTGTCAAACCATGTATGGAAACACAAACTACATCATCTCTGTTATCGCTGTGGAATTGCATATCGAAACAAACCCGACATTACAAAACACCTGTTCTGGAAGCACGGTACTGAGAGTGTTCTTTGCAAGAAATGTTTACAGAAGAAATGGCCTCATGTCTACCATTTCTGTATACCACCCAATTCTTTTGTATGTGAAGAATGCAACAGCAGCTTTTCACGAGCAGTGGCGTTGAAAGTTCATAAGAGGCTCCATGCTGGTGATTTGCCTTATCCATGCAGTGAATGTGAAGAACGTTTCATATCAAGGAAACTTTTAACCAAACACCAGGAGAAACATCGTGAGCCTTCCTCACCAAAAAATACAGTCGAAACAAAATTACAAGAAAATGGCTCTACAGGAGAAACTGAAAACCAAGAAGATAAAACTAAGACAGAGAGTGAATCTCATCAAGGAGAGATACTTGCCCATGAAGATGCAGTCAACAGGGGTAATTCAATAAAAGGAGAAGAATCACAGGTGTGTGATACTAAAACAATGACGACAATGTCAGAAGCAGATGTAGCGAATGCTGCTATAGAAGTACCTGTTGCAGAAAACTTGGGTGAAGGAGCCAAATATGAAGAAAAAGATGTGGGTGAGAAGAAATCTAAAGTTGTAGATGTCTATGACCTTCCCCCCTTGAATTTATCATCAGAAAGTGATGATTCTGATGACGATGGAGAAAGGAAAGAGACACAATTAAATGTTAAAACAAATACATCTGAAATTGATACAAAATCTGTAGCTATTAATGAAAGCACAAACTTAAATGGTGCAGAAAGAATTTCTGAAACTTTGTCTCAGACGGATGAAGATGTTCAGCAACCAGTTGAAGTTGTAGATGGAATTTGGGATAACTTCAAGACTTATAAAGCAAACTTGGAACGACGAGAAAATCAGCACACTGAAATTGGTGAAAGTTCAATGCAAAACACTGAAAAAGAATTACAGTTTCAGTTACATGAGAGGTCAGCTGCAGAAATAATTTCAGTGATATATATGGATCATGACTACTGTGGTCCCCCTGCTGGGACAAGTCATTCAGTAGACATAGAAGAGCAGTTACAAGATATGTTGGTGTCAGAAGCAGGTGTACAGCATGTGAGTCTGCAACAAGATGCTGGGAAAACAGAAGAACCAAATGAAAAATCAGGAGAAGAAAAGAAAGCTTGTGATGCTGATCATAATTACTGTTATACTAATGCAACATCATTTAATATTGAAAATGGGAGAGAGAAAGATGCTGCAGCTGTACCTGTTCAAGCTACCACTTCTCCAACCAAGAAGAAACAAAAGTCGCCCAAGAAGAAACGAAAACGTAGTGCTAGTTCATCATCTAGTGATTCCAGCAGTAATAGTGACTCAAGCACATGTAGTTGTGGTACAAACTGCAGTTGTAGCAGTTCTAGTTCAAGCAGTTCAGGCTCTTCCTCTAGTCAGAGCTCAGATTCAGATAGTTCAGGTTCAGAAGGCAGACAGCGCCAGGCAGCCAGACGAGAATGCAGGAGCGAGAGGGCCAAGAAGAGAAAATTGGAGGAAGTTGAGAATGCAACGCCTGCTAAAGCAGGTGCAACAGAGATAGCAGCTAATGGTCCCCCTGAACAGGATGAGGTTCCATCTCTGACCACTTTAGTTGAACCTGAGGACATGGAATTGCCTGTAAGAGAATCAGATTTAGACACAGATGAAACAGAGACAGATGAGGATTTTTATGATAAACATCCTCAGAGACTTGCTAACAAATTACTCGCAGAAAAACGAAACCAGCTTCTTTTATTGGCAGCAGTGGCTCCTGTTAACAATGGCACAATGTCACAGTCTGGTCAGTCACCACCAGCTAGTTCCATTGAAGAACCTGTACCAAAGAAGAAAGTAAAAATAAAGAAACATAAAAAATCACAGCATCAGCATAGTTCAGAGAATAAAATTGAAAGCAAATTGAAACTCAACATTCCCACAGACTATTACAGCACTCAATCACCCATCTTTTCCAAATCAACCCTGCCAACATCTGCAAGCAATTCTATGAATACTACAACCCTGGCCACACATGCCCGACCCATTCAAAATCCCTTCCTTGTTAGTCATCCTGAACCATTGACACCCACTACAGCATATCATAGCACAGGCAGTGGCTCAGAAACAGATAGCAAACGCCTCTCCAAAAGAAAGCGAGTTCCCAAGAAATTTTATGGGGATTCTAGTGATGATGAACCCGATCACCCACCGGTTAAGTGGCGTAAGGTGATGCCTGCTGTAAGCAACAGCCCGGTACCAGTAGTGCAGCCATCAGCAGGATGTAGCAGCGCTGTCTCCGCGCCTGAACGTATTCAGTTTCCAACCATTAATGAGGATAAGTCGGAGGAAGAGGCTGTGGAAGATAGTGACAGTGACCGAGAGGACACAAAGAAAAGCAACAGTGAGTCGTCAAACAGTGAAAGTGAGGCTGAAAAAGAACAGGAGGATGATGAAGATGAGGAAGACGATGATGATGGTGATGATGACGATGATGATGACGATCTGTCTGATGCAGATAGTGAAGTTAAGTCGTCATCAGCAGTACAAACAAATTCAGTGTCAGCTGCAAGAGAAGGTGATGCTGTGCAGCAAAAGAATGAAAATTTGTATTGTTACTGCCAGTGTCCATATGATGAAGTTTCAGAAATGATTGCATGTGATGGTAAAGACTGTACAATTGAATGGTTTCATTTTGAATGTGTAGGAATAATGGTGCCACCTAAGGGCAAGTGGTTTTGTCCTGACTGCAGAAAAAGGGCTGCAACAAGAAGCGAGTACCTGTTACATGTGTGACATGGGGTGGGTTTATGTACACAGTATTGAACACCCTATTTAACCATTGGTGTGTATTAATGTGTGAAGTTCTGGAAGCTTTGCTTCATGTGTGTGTTGTTTCTTTGTTGCTTTTCTCCTCTTCAAAAGAATTCTGTGTAAATAGTGTAAATAGGTAGGATAATAATTTACTGTACTTGAATTCACGCAACTTTTAAAAGAATCCCTGGTGGAGTCTAAAAGTAATTGTCAGCAGCTAATGTTGAACACTGAAATCAATCTAGCAGATGGTAATTGGAAATTTGTAAATGTAAACAAAACATTTCTTCACAAAGCAATTGTGTGGATGATAGCGAGTTCCAAGTCATTGTTTGTACATTATATTATTATTACAATAAAATTATTATACATTTGTCATATGCAATGTCAGAAGTGTTTCGCATTTATCTGTGCAGTGGAATTATATCACATTACTACTGAAATTGGAGACAGTAGTTTGAGAATGTAGTAATATCACAGGTTTAGAAACAGGATCTGATGTTGAGTGTTGTCTCACAGTGGCCTCGTGTCTAAGAAACAGATACAGCACAGCAATGAGATATTAAATATGTATTTACCAAATACTATGTATATAATGTGTTCTTTCACTTTTACCTGTATTTGATGAAATGCCATGTGTTTTTTAGTATACCAACATTTTAGACTATTTATTTTTTATATGAAGTTGCCTACGTGGGAAATAGTGCAACCGAATAATAATAATTGCTAGTATTTCTGTTGTTTCAAGTGATTTGACATACTTATGCAACAGTCAGAAATCTTGATTGGGCTGATGAATGCTGAAAGTATGTGATGCCATTTATACATGTGCATTATAAAATTCAGTATCTGTTTCTCATCATGTCCTGAACAATTTCTTAATCTTCCATTTTTGAGAGTTATTAATGTTTATTAGTTGCATGGATTGTATATCTTAATTCCGCAGAAACTGATCTTATATTTAATGTGGGATGTAAATACATTTGTGGCTAATTCTCATAGACATTAGGAAACTCACAGTTTTCTTCTGTAGAGTGACTTAAGGTTATTCTTAAAAATTTATCTATGAAGTCAGTGTACATGAATTCCTGGAAAGAAAATAAATAGCACAGAGGGTAAAAACAGTGGTTATTGTTACAAGGAAGTCAAGAATTAATGCTAGGTTTATTTATGCTACTATTTAAGTAACAGCCTCAGTGGATGAGCATTATGGAAGTTTTTATCTTATTCACAGTAGTTTCAGTATATGAATGTGAATAGGGAGGTAATGAGCAAATTCTGCTGTGACAAAATGGATACCTTATCAGCTCATAAAATTAGCATTTTCCATTTTCTACAGCGAATAGTCAATACAACAAACTGAAGTAAAATAAAATTTTGTGTAAGCCATTGAAGTAAACCTCATTATGTGTAAGCTAGCAATCCTGTAATAAACACAAAAATATTCTCCTGTTTTTAAATTGTCAAAAAGTTGAAGTAACTGTAAGAAATAAGTTAATTTGTTCACAATTATGAACATTTAATCACAAAATTCTGAATGTCATGGAATGAAATAGATATGCAATTCATATTGGTCTTCAGCCTACATAACAAATCTGGGTCAAGCGTAACTTCCGTTGTTATGAAATAGACCAAAGTTAGGTCATCCTATGACACAACCAGATGTTTATAGAAAATTGCAAATGTATAAAAAGATTCAAACATTACAGTAAATAATTTTGACACAGTGTGAGAAAATGTGAATTTGCAAAGTAAGGCCATGCCAAAAAATGTTCATATTCACATCCTGTGGAAGTAAAAAGCTGTGTTCAGAGCAGACATTTTTAAAATACTACTGGTAATCAGTTTCTTCTGCTTTGCACTGAGTATCTTTTTTTTTAGTTCATATTTTAAGCCCTTGTGAGACGTTCAGTTACTAACATTTGGACAAAACTGTAGCGTACACAGTTATTAAATTTCGAGTACAATTTCACAGTGGGTACAGGATAAGTTTAGACTGTAAGATAATTTCCTGTATTTAGAAAGACAAAAATGGGTTAAAGTGACTGATTCTTTTCTCTTAGAGTTCAACCAAGAAGTTTTTGTGAAATTGCCTTGATTGTTATTATATAAGGAGTTCAAAGAAAGTAGTCATGGTTTCGTTATATTCTGCATTCATTCACTGGGACTGACAGAAAAGCAGAGGAAATGAATGAAGACTGAGTTTCCTTATTGAGATTTCAACCAATAACTGCCAGGATACAAGTCAGATGCATTGTGTCTGAGTTAGTCTTCTCACTGAGTATAAATATTACATTTGTGCAAATGCATTGCCTGAAGATGACTTGTGTTAACTTGCATGATACATTTACACTCAGTTTGTTTTAAAGGTTTTCCGGAGTTCGTTGCGGTAACATTTCACTGTACTTGGAGAAAAGCAAAAGGATTTGTACTTGTATAACATATTTCAAAATTGAAGCCATCTCTTTATTATTATAGGTTAACTAATTGCCATGTCATATTAAATAATTATATTTAAAAAGCTCTGTTAAAGTAGATTCACCATTTGCAATCCAGTGTGGAAAGCAGTAGTAATGCTGTCCCATACAGTTATGGACATGACTGCATAACACAATAAATGAAAGTGAATGTGAGGTTTACACTGTGTGACCTTATATGGTTAGGGGGATATTTTTTATAATAAAATCTTATCAGCTTATCATACTGCACAGGAAGTTGTTGAACATACAAGAATCTGAAATGGCTGAGGCGCATTACTTCTGCTCATGGCTGGAATTTTATCTATGGCATGGATATCATTGTTATATTAATATGTTCTTAATATCCCATGTGGTTCACATTCGGCCCAATTAGTGAATAAAATTATAAGGCTTGCATCAACTCTGTATTACGGGACGTACCCTTCGGTTGCAGTATGAATATTTATGATTTGTTGTTGATGGTTTACTTTCAAAATATTAATGCGAGCTGAAGTGGTAGTACCTCGCCCAGGTATGTTGCTGTATAGTGCTCTGAAAAATGCATTAAATAACATCTAGGGGGTTTATTGTCACTCTTAAGTCTTTGCAACACTGAAATTAACATTGAGAATTTTCTAGATTGATGCAAATAGAATTTAAAATTGTGCTTCTCCAACTATTTTGTTGTGGAGTATACCTTTCTAATGTCCACATTTGTTCTTCACAGTTATGTATACAGTACTGGTCATGTCCATTTAAGTTAAATATTCTACAGGTCTGTATGATCTAAAGCTTTCATGGCAACTAAGTATACTGAATTCTTCTTGGGCTACCAACTGTGTAAAGTGGTTTATTGAAGAAAACATCAACATTTTGAAAACTGTCTTTGTCATCAGGGTCAAGGACAAGGACAAAGATGGTTCTCGAAACATTGGTGTTTTCTTCAATAAACCACCTTGCACAGCTGGTAGCCCAAGAAGAATTCATTTTACAGGTCTACTGCTGCAGAGATAAAGAAGAGTGCAGACATTACACTGCATGGAGACATTTTTTCCTTCTACTTCATTAAATATATGCATTACCTGAGTATGATGCAAATGAAAGGTGTGGGTCTTAATGAGACATGCCATATTATTTCATGTATTAACTTTTTAGGAAATCCATAATGATCAGCTTGAGTGCCAGGTAAAGCATGGGTTCATAGGACAAATTAGTCTGTTAACTTTAGTATACCTGAGTACCAGATTTAATCAAGCTATGTTATTTCTTAAATGAGTCATACAGGTGGATGGACAGACATGACTTCTATTATGCATTCACTATATACACTTTACAGACAGAACAAACAGAACTGAAGGACAACACAGTGGGAAGGAAAACAAATTCACACATTGATTCCAGTGGATTTGCTACTTGTTGAAACTCATTTCTTATTGAGTTCCCAGGTTACATTTTCAACTGAGAGGCACATCATAAATGCTTTATTCTTTCATGACACATTCCAATCTAGGAACACAATTTAAATTATTAAATGTGATAAATGTGGTTGGAGGGTACCAATGTATTGCTGAGACTGGCCAAAGTAACTGTATGTGTGATCATGCATTGTTATGATGTAACGCCATCAATCCTAATTCTCATTCCCATTGAACTTCCTTTCTTAGTCACTTTAAATGTACTGCTAAACTCCTTTATTGTATGAGCTCATAATGTACGACACTTTAACACTCAAGCATATGCAGATGTTCCACCTAGATGACTAGAGATGAGCAGTCCAGTGAGTAACTGTGGTTTCAGTGAATGTTCCTTGGGAGTTATGATTGTTTTAAGTAGTGACAGCTGGTACCATTAGGCTACCAATATGGGCCTACAGTAGTGAATAAAGAGTGAGACTGGAAGGCTACATTATTTTTCAAGGCAGAAATATTTATTTGTATGGGATAGTGAATTCACTAATTTATTTATTTGTATATCCAGTCATATTATTTAAAGGTTTGTATTAACTTCTGATTTTAAGGCATTTTTTTTACATATAGAATACATGTGCTGTTAGATTTTTATGAGACATACTTTGCTGTCTGTTGAATCATTTTGCGGTGTTCTGATATGAAAGCAGTAGCATTCATAATCTGATGCAGTTCCTCTCTTGTGTGTACTTTGGTTCTGTAGGTTATCTCTTTCATTTGTCCCCATGAAAATCAAGTGGCTTTAGGTGTTATGATCTCAGTGTCCAAGGTGATGGGCCATGATGACCAGTCTAACAATTTTCATAATTCTGAATGAACCAAGCGGTGGCTTAAGGAACTGATTCCAGGGCATATTTTTCCTGCACTACAGTGCTTTTTTAATTTTTCCACCACTTTTTCATTGCTGAGGTATGGGTGAACCACAAAGATATAAAACATCTTGTATTTTAGCAATGGATTTCTTGAAGGAACTCCAATTTTAAAGACTGTTTTAATCTTCTTCCTCCACTATCTTTGGGCTTTTTTTGTGTGCTTTCACTTATTCTTGGGATAATTTTTCACTTAAATAATCAGCAACAAGCATTTCACTTGATCAGGTAAATGCTGGTTTAGTAAAGCCACAGTTTTTAATGGGGCAAGAAACTTGCTGATGGTCATGTTTCATTTCTGTTTTATCTACCTAGCTATTTATGTTGTGTTTCAGTTTAAGAATTACACCTCTTACTACTATTATAATTTTTTTCAAGTAGTGATAAATGTTTATAAGAAATTAAAAATTATGTCAATGTTCTCAATAAATTTAAATGTTCAAAAGTGTGGAGGAGGTGAGAAAACTGAGTGTACGACAGAATGCCTTCCATTTCATTGTTCATCAATCTGCTGGTTATGGTAGGTGACAGTGTTTCCAGCAAATAATTGGTTACCAGAATTATGGTAGCTGTATTCAAAAGTCTTTGAAATGATGCAAGTTAGAAGGCTGAATTTAAGTCAGTAGTAAAGGTAGTAAGTGGAATTGGTTTAGCCACTGGCCTGAGCACATTGTTTAAATCTGTGCATTGTCAGAAGAGAGTTATGTTCCTTCTGTGAATTAACAACAGTGCAATCTGAAACTACCCTCAGTCACAATTCACTGTTATAGTTTCATAGAAACATCAGTCAGAACAGAACAGAGTAACATACCAAAAGACAATCCATTTTAATAGAAACATATTTACAAGCTCAAATCTATTTCATCAAGTTCTCAAAACGTGGCTTATACAACAAACTTGTACATGAATATGGTTCATGAATACTTGAAACTTTTATTTATCTCTATGCTGTATCATGTCTGCTGTTTATTATCTTTGCAATAATAAATATCTGCAGTGAACAAGAAGACTGATGAGGTATGCACAACTAAAAAGAATGCATTTGAAATATATACTCCAGAGGAATACATCTTTCCACCCTTGTTTCATCTCACTGCACACTGGCCTTGAGGAAGGTATCATGTGCCACAGTCACATGTTCAGTGTAAAATGTCCGCAATATTAACAACAGTAACACCACTAACATACATTAACAACTTTACAAGATTTCAGAACATGAAACTTTGTTCTATAATTTGTGATGTGAAACTACTGAAAGAGAGAATCACATCAAAGTGTGATCTTGTGTAATGTGTTACTGTTGTATTATATGTATGCATGTTCAAATGTAGATAACTTTAACATGTCATTGAAATACAGGGGTTACTCATTTAATTCATGTACTGTATCTGCCATCACTGTCTATGGCATCACTTCTGCGAAGTGGAACTTTTTCTTCCTTGAAATACTCTCCTCACATATATACACATTTCTTCCAGTGCTTCTGAAGTACCGTCACTGTGACACATGAACATGGCAAACTTTCAGCTATGAGAGCTGAATTTGCATGGTACCAGATCAAACATGGGGTAACACGTTACTGTACTCAGTTGTACAGTTTGAGAATTGCATAGCCTAGTATTATTGTGATGGAGAAGCCATGTCTTACTGTGCAATGCTGGTCTCTTATGTTTTAACAGCTGACACAGTGCAATTTTGTATATAAGACTTTAACATAGGCATCTGTATTTATTATGTAATATGAAGAAGGAATGCCATTATAATGAAATAAAGACAAGGCAAAAAGGTGCAGTATCTCTACGTAACCAACAGGCCATGAAAGCATTTGGTAGAAAATAAGCAAACTACACCATATGAGTGGGGTTTGAATCTTGGCAGGAGCAGGAATTTTTCTCCTTGTTAGTGCATCCACACCCCTCTGTGACACACATGGCCTCTTGTCCAGTGGGTACCAGATTCCACCAGGGCAAGGAGCTGAGCACTCACCTCCATCTAAGGATAAGAATTCATGAACCTACATCACCACTGCCTGTTAGTCCTCATGGCATGGAGATGTTTAAGCACATGCACAAATGTGCCTTTACACAATATTTTGTGTACAATACAATAACAAGACTTTAATTATATGTGGTTTGATTGCTAATGTCCAGGCTCTTATGTAATCCTTTCGCCTTTTTTGTATCCCAATAATTCTTTGGGCACATGTTGAGTTGACAAGTAGATCATTTAGTCTCTGCCCAGAGGACACCATGTGGAGGCCATTTATGTCACCCTACTTAATAAGTTGGCACAAATTACATTTCATTAACAAATTTTAATGTGATAGTGTAAGGACCTCAAAATGCCAAAATACTAGCCCAACATATTGTGTGCACTTCATAAAAAAAAGTGTTCTAGATTTTTTATGTAACAAAATTTAAAAAATTTCATCTGTTTTTCAGCATATTTCATTGATGACAAATTTTTCAGTCATAGTGAAGCCAAATGCTTCCTTTCGGATAACTGTTGTTTGCTCTCAAGGTTATATTGATTAAGCCACATTTCTTCACCACTCACAGTTCACAGTTGAATCTTGCTCATTATGTCCAGAACTCCACAGTTCTTCATTATGGTGCCATGAAACCTCGGGTAGATTCCAGTGTTTTGGAGAAACATATTGTCTCCATCTTCAGGGCTATAGTGGCAATGCTGATAAATTGAGGGATTTATATAGGGTTAGAAGAAGAGAAAGGCTGAGGGAGTGAGCTAATTAGAGACAAGGATTGAGGGGAGAAACATCTGTGCCAGTAAGGGGTCAGCCCTGAAGTTACAATAGGTTTCTCTGAAACATAGGCATCCACCTGTGAGTCTACACTGTTCCAAAATCCACATCATCATTTTCCCTGCTGCATAAAGCTCATATCTCTTCATTATATATTTGTATACGTATGTCACAATTCCTTTTGTTTGGGTATCAGTTGGTGAGGGACTCATTTAGCAACATTCTTTTTAGATTTTCATGTGATCTGCACAATGGCATGGGATCTATCAATGCATTAGTACAACAGAGATGCTAATTCTATGACTGAAATTTAACTGTCTTCATTCATTATTTCATCTGCACAAGGAATCTGATCTTGTGTGGTTGACCTTACATGAACCAACTATGCATCACTTGCTATGAACTGCCATCCCATCTTGAACTTCTTGTACCATTTTAAAACTTCTGTTCAAACATTCCTCTCCATGAGTTCCAATTAGTTTCATGATATTAGCAGCAGCATATTCTAACACAGTAATGAATGGTATGATATTGCTCAGTTTTAAAGTCTTCCACTTCCAAAATCACAATGATCTCTCAAGGTATAACCTATGCAGAACATGCGCATCACTACAATGAAATGGCGTAAAACCATAAACATATCTACACATCTCACTGGTTATTTAGTGAAGTGATCTTTAGTAGGATTTTGACAACAGGCGAATGTTTGGCAAATAATGGTAAAATACACAAATTCAATGAATAACCCTATTAGTGGCAGATAGGATATAAAATGGATGGAAGTGTGTATTGTGCTGACAAAATTATATGCCTTGTTTTGCCAGAGAAATGTATGTATGATGTCTAAGCAAACAGGTGTTTCCCAACAGTAAAAGGCAAACTGGTTAAGTTGGCACATTCTGGATCATGTAATGATGTGATTCAGCAGTTATGTACCAAACAGTTTGTTTTCAAGTTGCAGTATTTCTTTTTTGTCAAAAAACATGAGTTATGCATTGTTAAAATATAAAATCAACATCAAATTTGTAATGAAATTGAAGAAAAATGCCACTTAATGTTATAGCATGTTTATAGAACAGGAACAGTGACTGGATAAACTATGGGCTTTGTGTAGGTAAAGCCATTTCAAGATGGGAGAGAAGAATTTATAGGCAACATAAGATTGTGTGTGTGGCAACTTCAAGAACTGACCAAAACATAAAAATGACTGAAATTGTGATAAATGACCACTGATTTATATAATAGATAACAAAGCAGAAGAACTGGACATGAATATGAAAGCTGTTGGAGTGACTGACAAAATATCTGATTATGAAACAAAATCTATGAAAAATCTTAGTGTGAAAGAAAAACTTTGGAGAAACCCTTTTGGCGAGATTGCTTGAGAAAGACCCTTTGGAAAACATAATGTATAGTTACCACAGTCTCCAAGAACAAACATATTTAAATTGTGAAAATCAAAGTTGAAAGCCATGTGGATCTGTTCTGATGTTTTCCTTTAAAATACAGGTCAGCCAAGCGCACACTTTTAAAAGAGTCGGGAGAATGCCAGCATCACATTAATCAGAAAATACCACAAACCCAGTCAGTAAAGTTCTTGAGAGGGTCTCATTTTGAATCACTTGAAGGCATTCAGGACAGTGTGTTTATAACACTGAGAGGACTGTTGGAAAGTGGTTTCCAGCAATGTTTTCAGGCATAGAATAGTAGTTGGAATGTGTATGTGTGTATAATATCAGAAAGCAAATACTTTGAAAGTAACCCACACACTGAATTCATACATGGCATTTCTTTCGTGTATACAAGACAAAACTACCATCACCATTTTAGAGTCCATAAGAGAATGGTTTCTATACAGATCTATGGCTCAAAATATGGAACTGATACTTTTGCCTATTCAACAGAAGGTCCAAGCTGCAGTGATTCCAAGATATCCTATGCATATTTTATTAACAGTGTACCTTATTTGTAGTATTGCCTTTATAAGTGATATAATTTGCCAGCCTATTCTAGTTTTGTCTGTATTGTTATTTAAGTATTATAAACATTGTTCTATTGAAATTGCAGCTTTCAGTATTGTACCTAATATGTGAATATGATAACACCTGAAGTGATAAGTAAACCAATTTTTACTAGTTTATATGTAATGAAGTGTACTGAAATGATGTGAGGATGCCAGCATAACACATGTGTCATTCTTATCAACATAACTGTATATTGCAAGCATATGAGTAGGATTGACTAGTCAGTCATGTACCAATTTTCCCTGATAAATATTCTTCGTATGCATGTAAAGATTGGTTGACCCATTACTATGTAACTCCACTAAAAAGTATTTTACAAATAAATTGGCAGAAATATTTACATTATTTGAACATTTGTGAACTAAACCATTTTAACCTATGAACTAAAATGCTACAGTAATGGCAGCAAAATCTATTGACATTTCAGATATTTGCTTAAATGTAAAATGGTCTGAGTCACTCATTTTTAGGAACAGTACTACTTTTGGTACCCATATAGTACATACAATAATATGAAAAATCGATCAGTATTAAAACAGCTTAGTTTCTCCCCTAGATGCTTAAGAATGCAATAAAAACTGATGAAATGTATGAAGAAAGTGTTGTATTGGAATTCAATACTTTTTGTTGTGTTGGGCTATTGTCCCAATTCTCTTGAAACATTGACCTCTATCCAGACATTAGACAAACATAAGCAACTCATTTTAATTAACATGCTGATTACAATATATCATAAAGTGCCAAATTGTCACCATAACATGATATAGCCTTCCACCAGAATGTTACTGAAAGTGGCTACTGTGCAATGATTTTTATACAACAGCTGAAATATTTGTATTGCTGTGTATTTATGGATAACATCCAAACCCAATAAATTTAATAGATTCCTATTGCTTTTAAGAATGATACACTGAGTAACCTGAATACTTAACTGTCAGTTTTACTTTCTGTAGTAAATGGGAGTACAAACTTCCACTATAGATCCTTCACATATCCTAACAGAGGGTTTTCCTCAGTTCCTTCAGTCAAATGCTGAGTTAATACTTAAGAATAGATCACATCAATCATCTTCATCTGAATATATTCTTAATTTACAACAACCTAAATATTAACATGTCTCTATTAAGGATTATTTGGCAAAATCAACAGAATAATATTGTAAGTAGGCGATGTTAAATTTTTAGATAAAGATGCTATGATATAAAGAGTCAGAATTTACCTGTACAAAATTAAATGTAAGTGGGAGAATTAGAGTTATGGGAACAGTTATTATATAACAGGAGAATAGCATTAATAGAAACAGATGTATATGAGCTGTGGACTGCAAAGAGGTCTTGACTGTTAGTACTACTACTACTTCTTCTTCTACTACTACTACTACTACTACCACCACCATCACCACCAAATTTTATTTGCAAGTAATAGGGATACTCCCTCACTTTCAACATTTAGTTAAATAGATTCAAAATGTAGTGACTGTTGTCTTGTATGCTGGGTCTGTTTTATCTTCCAGCTACTGAACTATATTATAACTGATAGAGTACTGATTATAAATTTGAACCACATCAGCTAATTATTAAGCCTCAAGTTTGTACTGTCCATTACATTTAACTGACCTCAGTGTACTAAATGCACTCTCCAAGCAGCTCATTCACACATAGGAATATGTTATTTTAAATATAGTGTGTTCATTGATAAAGTTCAACCGTTACTTCCCAGCTCCCAGCAGTAATACAGGTAAATCGATTTTATTGTTTTCATGGAACAGTACTTAACTGATATCAGGAGAACCTTGTAGCACTTGGCAGCAATAGTTTTGTTCAACTTAATCAGTGACTGTACTGTATATTTAAATTCTGGTATAATATGTACAAATATGAAGATTCGGGCCTTGTGAGTGGTAAATAGGACTGCCTACCTGAAGTAACAGTTTTATCATTTTAGGCACTTTCACATCGCTTTCAAGTGCCAATTAAAATTGCTCTGTCCATTCATCCATATGCATGTAACACTTTGGTAATAGGTAAAGAGATTTCTGTGAAATCAGATAGTGAGTAATTTTACTAAAATCTGGCAACACATTCCACTTTTGGTTAAAATCAGACAACAATAACATAAAATTCACATGAAGACCTACATGCACACAGATACTCATTCATTATCTGTACTAATGAATATTGTGTCCTATTACAGATTTATTTATTGACAAAAAATATATACTTAAATATTTTTTTTGTTCATTATCAAACTATGATAAATTTCAAACTTTTTCTCATTGTTAATATATAAAAACTTTAATAAATTATTTTTTAAATGTTTTATGCTATCTGCTTCCCATATCAGGGGAAATCACTGTTATGTAGACTAGATTTATGAATAAATTCAACTTCCCCATTAAGAATGGATAAAGTACGTACTGACAATTTTTCATGTTGCTCATGACAGAGTGAAGAGAACAAAGAAGAAAAGTTTCCACTGAAATTAGAGTTTTGTTTATGTTGCAATATTTTATAAACATTAAGGTTATGTATGAGCAGTGATAAAGAGCATTTGAATGGTGAGTGGTAGAGAGAAATCTGGATGAAGCAGCTTTATTGTATGGTAAATGTCCTGAAATTTGATAGGGATAGTGAAGAAACCCACATTAAACATGAAGTTAACCATTCTTGTTACTAATAAGATGGTATGCTCAGTACCGTAAGGAGAACATAAAGATCCTAAGGTATTCTTAATTTATATCGCAAACAGGACAGATGCAATCACAACAATTTCTCAGTCTGCATACTGTCCCTAGGTTTTTCCATCTGCAATTAAACATTTTGTGTGACTCATGAACACTTTTTGGTAGACTACATCTCAAAATGAAAAGATTAAATAGGTGTTCTCTTCTACCCAGTCACTAGCTTACATTTACAAGCTCTGCCCATAATTAGCTGAATAATAAACATGCTACTTACTGTTTAAATACTCACTCATTTGTAAGATTTTCATGTTGTAGATATTTAATTATTTTTATCTATACCTCTTGAATGTATACATATTCATCACCCTGGACCCTGGTCAGGATCTGTTTTGTTTTTATCAGATATGTGGCCTTTTGCTCTCCAATTTTGTCCTGGGATAAGAATACTTCAAGATTTCAGTTTGAATAAACTTCTCACCTAGAACATAACGAGCTGCATTACCTTTCAGTTTGCTACAGGAAAAAAAGTAAAGCTGGCCCACTATAATATTTGTGAATGAAAATAACAAATCAAAACTGAATTCATGAATAAATTAAGAGCAGACCAAATATGAAAATGCTGATTATCATGCAGCTGAAAGTTTTTCCTTCCTGTCTGTTAACTAAAATAATAAAGATTAAAATATATAGAACTATAAATTTACCTGTTGTTCTGTATGGGTGTGAAACTTGGCTTCTTATGTTAAGGGTGCCTAAGAACAAGCTTGCTGGGAGAATATTTGGTCATGTGAAGGATGAAGTGAGATGAGAATGGAGAAAAAATTTTAATGTTGAGCTCCACAATTTTTGGTCTTCAGTAAATATTATTAGAATGATCAAGTCAAGCAGGATGAAATGGGTTGGGCATGTATGATGTATGGAAGAGATGAGATGCATACAAAATTAAGGTTGGAAAGCCTGAAAGGAAGAGACCACTCAACCTAGGCATTAATAGGAGGATAATTTTCAAATTAATTGTATGTATATCGATTTGCACTGGTTCAATTTGCGCCGATTCAGAATAACGCCGATTTTGAAACCAGCAAGTCAAAAAGTGAAAGAAAAAAGAAAAAAATTACTATTATTTATAACGTTTTACAATGTATCTTGTACTGATCCTTATTCTAAATCATAATTCTTAAATCGCTGATTTTGAATAAAAATTATAAATACAGTCATCTCTGCAATTACAATTATGTTTCATTAACGCGAATTTGCTCCAATGAGATCGATGAATCTGTAAAAGCTGTTTGTGAAATGCAAACTTTTGCATATAGGACACAGTTGGTGAAGGGCCGAGGAAGTGTCAGTCCTAATAAGGAAGAAAGAACTTGTGATCCTTACCTTATTAAAGAAGTTGAACTGTTTGACATATAGGTGAAGACAAAATGAAACCAATGATTCCTTCTGGGACTTCCTTTAAAGCAGAGATCTTATCATGCAAACACTACTTATTAACCATTTGGTCTTAAGGGCAAGACTGGTATACAGACAGGTCAAGGATGGCTGGCAGGACTGGGGCAGGTGTATGCGGGGTGAGGCCACGGAAGATGTTACCCTTTTCATTTGGTGTACATGCCACAGTGTACCAGATAGAAGTGTCTGTAATTTTAGGAAAGAAATGAAAAGGAAAGGCCTATACATATGATCAGAATGCCAGGTATTTTGTGGGCCCTTGAGGGTAATGTCATAGCTCCTCTGGGAATACAGATGGCACTGTTTGCCCTGTCCAGTTAGAAAAATGTTGCAGTTTTTGGTTTCCCGGTCACTGTGGGATTTAGGGTAATGTGGATGCAGGTCCCTTAGCTAAGGAAGGATCAAGCAGTCCATTTCGTATCCCTACACCAGCAATTTCAGCCTCACCATGTGTTGGTAGACTCAAGCTTAAGGAGGAGCTCGAGGAGAGGTACTCCAAACATTGACCCACCACTCCAGATGTGAGGCACTCAAAACCCTTCATTTCAGGCTGTTAATGGGTTTGTTAAATGGACTTTTACTTTGAGATGGAACTTACATGAGCGTTTTGTATTTAAAATGGAAAAGAAAACAAAAATACCAAACAGATGGATTACGTTAAAACAAGTAACATTATTTGGAAATGTTTCAGAATTTAAGTATATTGGAACAACAATAACAAATAGAAATGAGGTCAATTATAAAATTAGGAACAGAATACATTTGGGAAATGCTTGTTTTTGTTCAATTCAAAAACTGTAATCATCCCATTTGCTATCCAAAACATTAAAGATCAGGATATATTAAACAACAATTTTGCCTATCCTATTGTATGGTTGTGAAATATGGCCTCTTACCTAGATGGAAGAACACAGATTACAAGTGTTTGAAAACAAGGTGTTCAGGAAGATATTTGGAATTAGGAAGGATGAAATAAGTGAGGAATTTAGAATATTGCACAATGAGGAGTTGCATGAATTGTACAGGCCACCTAGCTCAGTGAGGATAATGAAATCTAGGAATCTACGATGGGCTTGACATGCAGCACCCATGGGGGTGCATAGACATTTTCATGGGAAATCCTTCTGGAAAACGACCACTGGGCAGACCAAGAATGAGATGGGAGGATACTATCAAGATGGATCTTAGGGCGGTGAGATGTGAAGATGGAAAATGAATGGAGTTGGTTCAGAGTTGTGTCAGGTGGCAGACTTTGTTGTTGGACCAGCGGGTTCTGCTACCAGGGAATTACTTAAAATTAGAAATTAGTCATAAACGTGTAAGGTATTAACATACAACAGAAATTATTAAATGAATCTGCACCTTATATGGTAACCTATTGACATGAAAATCGAAGTCAAACTAAACATATCTGTCAAGAAGCAAACATTCTCTCTCTACCTATCATTCTTATGGTATCATATTCATGATTACTTAATCTAATACTACAATCTTTTTCACTCCTAACAGGTACAATATAACATTTCAAATGTTATAATATGAACAGAATGTAAGAAGACCATGGAGAATTTATTCTGAGGTAGACTTCTCCCTTAGAAACCTTTCTGACCAAATGGTATTTGTAATCAAACTAAGAACTTTATAGGTTCTAAAGAGCAAATTTTAAACAAAAATAAATTCACCTAACGTATTTGCGTGACAAATAAAATGGGCTAACTTTCCGGTCCCCGTCAAAAGCGGTACAGTCTACTTTCCTTCGACCAAAATAACCTTACTTCTTTTCAGAAGTTATCTGGTTCAAATCTGAACTGGAACACCGGCTAAGGTAAATGTCGGGGCAGTAAGTTGAAACAGAATACGGCCGCTTCATACACCGTCCTTCACTATTCGTTTTTTTTTTGTCACTAACATATCTGACGCTGAATAAACTCTGTACTTGATAGGCGTCATTGAATGCTTACAAATAAATCAGTCACGACTTCCTCAGTGTTATTTCTTCTATTCCCATTCGAACCAGAGAAATCCACATTCATGCACTCTGCTTTGTTGTGAGACTGTACTTCTGGGAGCCAAAACAACTCCGCTGGGAGTTGGAAGGGCATGGACGACTGTGCCATACTCTTCCACAAAACAACGTAATCGTTTACACACAATGCCCTGTACTACTGGAGGCTACCGCAGTACAATGTAATTGAAAAAGGAATAGACGGAGTGCGCATGCACAAGAAGATCGCC